CCATGGCATGCTTATGTGGCTCATGCAGTTTTGAAAAATTACATTTTAACCTCATAAACTTCACAAAATTTTCAATTAAGTTTATATTCAAACCATTCTATCTTTTTAGCAAGATTTTTTCTTTATTTTTTATTTTTAATTTTGTAATAAATTTATATGTTTTAATTTTAATTAACAACTAAAAAATTCATCATTGTCATTATTAGGATAAAATTATATCACTTCTTTTTTTATTTAGTTCAAAAAATTAATTTTATTTGCATTATCTCTTTCTTAAAATAACTTTTGTTTTTTTTTTTCAAATTAAGAATTTGAGGATAATTTATGTTTACTTATATTACCCTTAAAAAGAAATAAAAGATGAAGAGAAACATTTTGTGATGGGATGATTAATTAAAGTAAATAGATAATAATATGGTTAAGGTAAAAAAATAGATTTGTTGACCTTGAAAAAAAAATTAATTTGAGAAAAGAGTAATGATAGGAAGGATGAAAATTTAAAACTAATGACGTAATATAAATTATATCATTAAATTAGTTAATATATATAATATCACATTTCTTAAGAAGATCAATCATTAAATAATCTAAGATCTATTTTTTAATAGTTTAAATAACGTGACCCAAGTTAAATTTTAGTTCCAAATTTTGGTCTTATTTATCATTATTTTTAAAAAAAAGTTCTTTATTTTTATTTCTTTTTTAAGAATAAAATATGTAATAATAGAAATTGTTTCTAAATCCTTAATTTAAAGATAAATTCAAAAATGTATATTATTTTAAGATAGATAAAATACATTTTTAAAATTTTACATGTAAAAGATTTTTTTTTTAATTTTAGTTTGATAAAAATAATATTATAGTCTTAATTAATTAACAAATTAAGCTATCTTAATTATTTATCATTAGTTTTGATTAATTATAATTTAGTCCATTTAAGGATTTAGTTGAGTAAATTGTATTGTAAAATAATTTGAATATAAAACTTAATTGAAAATTTTGTAAAATTTTTGAGGTTAAAATGTAATTTTTCAGAATTGCATGTACCACATAATTGATGTCACGTAAGCATACCATGGGATTCCGTTAAAAAAACTAATGATAGTTTATTGGATAGATAAATTTGAAATGATTTTCAAAGTTTATAGATGATTTTGAAAAAAAACTAAACTTTCTAAACTAAATGAAAAGAGAGTAATAGTTAATAAATGAAAAATTAAATTTAACTTAAAGAGTATGAGAAAAAACAACCCTCCATATCGTCATATGTGTATGATCTGGTCATCTTTCACAGTACAATTTTGACCAAATCCTCCTTTTGGCGTCCAGATGAGGATACCACAGACCTGCGGTGGACAAAAACTT